CAAGAATAATTCCTCCCCAAACGAGCCATCCTGCACCACCGTAACGGTGTCAATCAATGGTGTTCTCTTGGTGGTAACGGGTACCTGGCGCTCTCCATATTAAAGTCCGGCGAGAATCAGACTACAAACAAACCTGGACTCGTCGGAGAAAACATCACACAAGACCACTGTTGTGGTGTCCACAATGCATGCTCTCTACTCCAGGTTAATCGCAGGCGACAGTGAGTTGCGATAAGTGGAACACATCTGACAAGCCTACGAGCATATAGACCAATGTGCCCTAAGCGTCTGTACACGGTCTGCCTTGAAACTGTCGTACCGGTAGCTGAAGAGAGCTGACGAGACAGGTCTGATGCTGTGCTCCGTCTGTTTCTTTTGGCAGTAACTGCCAAATATATACCGGTCCTCATTCGGCGTTGTAACTCGGGGGCGACCTGTGCTGTAACATCTACTCACATTACCATCATCTTGGAATCGTTGCCAAAGTCTGGAGATGACACTCTGGGCGATTTCAAGTTGCTCGGATACTTCCAGCTGGGTACGTCCATATTCCAGTCGTCCAATAATTCTACCACGTAAAAAACATCCAAATGCTTCCTTTGTGCCATAACTATGCGGTTATTGCACTGAAAGGCTTTTAAAGCGCTTGTGAACTATTTTACTTCTTTGCCACCATTCCTTATATACCCCTCTCTTACACTGTCGTCATTGTGACGTACTATTCGCGCCATCTGGTGGTTTCCTGTAATTTGCATATTCTTCTTCAAGATGTGTGTGATAACTCGACAGGTGAAATTTTTATTTTTGAGATCAATTTCTGTGTGATTCTGAATTATCCTTAATTTATGGACATGAGTGTAAAAATCATCTCATGCGGGTGAGTGAGTGAGTGAGTGAAGATTAGCGTCGCACTGTTCAGCTACACGAGGGCTTTTGGCGACGGACCACGTAATTTTGAACCATGGTCAAGTGACGTGGACGACACCTGAGCTGGCACCCCCTCTCCTAACTACCACACCACACCAACGGGAGGACGTTTCAGCTCTCGACAGATTTAGCGTGCATCGCTGCCCTACACGGCGGGTCTTTAGTGGTACTGGGCTCGAACTCGTGACAAAGCCAGCCACGATCCGATGCCTATACCACTCGGCTACCGCGGCCACTCATCTCATGCGGGAATCGTGCTTGAAGAAAAAGTAAAACAGGTGCAAAGTGTCGCAATTTTACCTTTATTGTGGAAAATAAACAATCGTTGTACAATTATACACCTTCGTTTTTTCGCTGAAAGATCTCTGATTCTCTTGAGAAGCAGTAGTTGAGTAGGACAGCACTCTGACTGTTGTTCGTACCACTTCATAGCTGCCTTTAACGCAGAAAACGCGTCAGCATTTCATGGACCTTTGCTACTTTCGTTGTTCTTCTTTTTTTCATCCGTTTCATCGTCGACAGGGTAGGATTCTTCTTGCACAGAAGTCACAATTTCGTCATCATTTAGCATTTGAAATCCACAGTTTTCTGCATCGCATGCCATCCAGGCTTCTACATCTTCTTCGTCGCATTCTATACAGTACTACAGTTGAAGCAAAACTTTCCTTTTTTTTATTTTGTCTAGGCTGGCGCCAGAGCACTCGCTTGTAATTTATTTCTTTGATCAGTGTAATCACTATATTTTAAATCAGAATAAAACTAGATTTCGAAGGGAGATGTTGTGACAAGTCTTTCTGTATTTGAATAGATACTATTCATTTTTTTTCACAGTGCATGTAGTTGACAAAAAAAAAAGCAAAAAAAAAAAAAAAACTGGTCCTGATAATAAACGTTCGGATAAACGATGCTCTATTGAAGTTCTATTCCGAAACGCAGAGTTAGTGTAAAATTGTTTTACTAAGTACCCACGCTTTTACCACAATGACATTAATTTCTCGTTCATCATTTTATTATTATATTAAGAATTATTTTTTACTTTTCAGTCCGATTAATTATATAAAGTGCACTTTTTAGATTTTTTAAACTATAATTTATTTTTTAAAAAAAGAACATTGATTAACAATTAATGAAATCATCACAATAGTTTTATAATTTACCATCTGTGTATTTTGTGTTGAAAGAAATACAAAACATGGGAAACATTCATTTATAAAATACAACATCAACAATGCATTGTTTCCATACTCTTCTAGTTTTCAAACCATTGAAACCTATCATAGGATGTAATCAATTTCTATCTATGCTTACTAATTTTTTTGTGAATTGCAATAAGGAAAAATTTTATTTTGTACTTTCATGCATGTATTTAAGGCTATTATATATATTTACTTAAACCATTCTTCACGCAGGTAAATTGAAAAATATAACAATCAAGATGGAAAGAAAAAAAAGATAATGAATTCAAAATTTAATTAATGTTTTGAATAATTTTAGCTATATCGCAAACTAAACTGTAAGGAAAAACAAATTTTTTAAAAAAAATAGCAAGGTAAAATAAATAGATGATTAACTCAAAATTCGCGCTTCCACGCCACAGGTTCAGGGTTCTATCCTCGGGCTGCGCAAGATCGACTCTGCCAGCATCCATTCAGTAGGTCGATGAATGAGTACCAAGCTTGCTTTGGGACTAAACACTTGGGGTTTCGCTTTAGACTGACCACCTGATCAGGGCATTAGTTCATGCACCTCAGCGCCCAATGGACACGTACACTGAGATGGGTACAGGGGACCTTGACCCTCATGGGCAGTTGCACCACTGAGTTTAGTTTAGAGATACGTTAAGAATAGTTTTGCGAATATCGTCTCCCACAGCGGCGTGAAGTATAATATTTAGATATCTATTTAAGATATTTTTAACTGACAGATGAACCTGGAAATTACTGGATTTTACTTCGCTAATTATATATATAATTTTTATTTTCTATTTACCACCAAAAACTAATTTACATACGAATCCTGGCATCTTTTTCAATTCCTGATATTATATAGTTCACTTTCTCCCTATATATATATATATATATATATATATATATATATATATATATATATATATATATATATATATATACACACAACCATACAGTCGAACCCCCATATTACGAACCTTTATACTGCGAATTTTTCTATATAGCGAACTTTTTTCTGGAACCAAGAAAATTTCACAATTTTCTTTACAAAATATATAACCTCCCTATAGCGAAGTACATTTTCTATATAACGAACTTTTTCTTGTGTTTCAAATTTTTTCCCTCCGTATTTTTAAAGTATTTCTAGAAATATCAAGTTATTCTCTATTACACATTTTACGGTGGTCATAAATCGTGAACAGGTTTTATTAGGTGCCTAACTCACCGAGAACAATAAAATTCTGGGCGTTTCATCCAAGAAGTACAACCTTTAACCCTCATTGTGCAGTTCACTAGAAGTATCTTCGATATCCCCTGCAATACCACTGAAGACCCGCCGTGTAGGGCAGCGATGCACGTTAAATCTGTCGAGAGCTGAAACGTCCTCAAGTTGGTGTGGTGTGGTAGTTAGGAGAGGGGGTGCCAGCTCAGGTGTCGTCCACGTCACTTGACCTTGGTTCAAAATTACGTGGTCCATCACCAAAAGCCCTCGTGTAGCTGAACAGTGCGACGTTAATATTCAATCAATCGATATCCCCTGTCACCGTCAGTGGAGTTCTAGTTGTAAAATAATGTATGTTTAAAATTACTTGTATGCTTTAAATTAGAAAATGTCTTTAAAATTCATTAATTTTAATATAAAATTATTTTTTTAATGTTGAAAATGCATTCTATTCCTCGTCATTCTTTTTTCTTGTTTTCAATGCAGTTTTTTTTTAGTGGGCAATATATATAAAATTTTAAAAATTATTGATTTACAAAATGGTGAGAATAATTACTTTTTTAGCACATATTGTTTATGAATTTAAAATTTGTTTTATGTGGTTTCTAAAGTATACTGAAAGAGGAACCTCTGTATAACGAATTTTCCATATAACGAACTTTTTAGGGGGGAGGGGATTTAGCGACTTCGTTATATAGAGGTCCGACTGCATATATCTTGTTCAAATTTTCAATCGTTAATAAAATGCTTTCGATTCATCCATTCAAGTTCAAATACATTTTGTTCAACTTGTAGTGAATGACATTTGATGTTAATACATTCTTTTCAATTCCTTACTAATATTATAAACGGGAAAGTTTGTGTGGATGTTTGGTACTTTTTCGCTCAAAAACAACTGAATGGATTTTAATAAAACTTTACAATAATATAGCTTATACATCAGGATAACGCATAGGCTATAATTTATAAAGATATTTGTGAAGTGTCCAAAATATAACAATAGTTGTCAAGAAAGTCGGAAAAAATTCTGACTTCTGCAAAAAAAGGCCGCGACAGCGTATATCTATCTTTTTATGTGTGAAGCAAAACTTTGCATTTTGTTTTGTCTACGCCAGGTGCCAGGAACTGCGAAAGCTTAAACAGGCGGAGTGTGAGGCTAATTACAATTTTAACATAAAATAAATACAACAAAGAGTAATATTAACGTTTACACTTTTAGATATAAATTATTTATACTATCTTAAACGTTTATTACACAAAATTTGTAACAATGTACTATTTTTGCTGAGCAGAAATCAGCTTAGGAAGGTGTTTTCAAAAATCAACCCACAAGAGAGTTATGGGTAGTTATAGATAAAAAAAAATTCCTTTTTATCAGCTATTACATCTACACACTTAAAATTTAACAAACATGGTTTTTTTTGTTCAGCTGAGGTAAGCAAAAAGCTTTTGTTTGTTAAATTTGCGATTCACATAAAATTAACTCATTAAAAACTTCTTTATCGTTCACAATCTGTATTGCTTAATTTTTCAATTCACCCGTGCGAAGAACGGGTATAACAGCTAGTATTAAATAATTAATTAATTAAATTAAGAAATGCATAAATAGTAACAAAAATAATATTCCAACAGCATATATAGAAAGGAAAATCGGTTTTTTTTGTATCCCTGTAGCGCAATGGATAGCGCGCGCGCGTTGGACTTCTAATCCAAAGGTTGTGGGTTCGAAAGCCCCCTGGGATGGCCTAATTTCTGAGAATGTGATTTCTTTTTTTATATTTACTATATTTTTTTATTTACTACAGTATATTTACTATACTATTTTATTAGAATAATTAAATTTAATCAATGAATTAATAGTAACAAACAAAAAATAGTCCAACACCCTACATAGAGAAAGGCAAATGGAAAATTGCTTTCTATTTTGTCAGTTATTATTGTGATTCTATCACACATATGTATAAACATATTCATATTAGAGTTGTAACTATTTATTAAAAAAATGACTAAAATAAAATATTTCTTTCTTGGTAGGAACATCGTCTCCCACAGCGGCGTGAAGTATAATATTTAGATATCTATTTAAGATATTTTTAACTGACAGATGAACCTGGGAATTACTGGATTTTACTTCGCTAATTATATATATAATTTTTATTTTCTATTTACCACCAAAAACTAATTTACATACGAATCCTGGCATCTTTTTCAATTCCTGATATTATATAGTTCACTTTCTCCCTATATATATATATATATATATATATATATATATATATATATATATATATATATATATATATATATATACAACCATACAGTCGAACCCCCATATTACGAACCTTTATACTGCGAATTTTTCTATATAGCGAACTTTTTTCTGGAACCAAGAAAATTTCACAATTTTCTTTACAAAATATATAACCTCCCTATAGCGAAGTACATTTTCTATATAACGAACTTTTTCTTGTGTTTCAAATTTTTTCCCTCCGTATTTTTAAAGTATTTCTAGAAATATCAAGTTATTCTCTATTACACATTTTACGGTGGTCATAAATCGTGAACAGGTTTTATTAGGTGCCTAACTCACCGAGAACAATAAAATTCTGGGCGTTTCATCCAAGAAGTACAACCTTTAACCCTCATTGTGCAGTTCACTAGAAGTATCTTCGATATCCCCTGCAATACCACTGAAGACCCGCCGTGTAGGGCAGCGATGCACGTTAAATCTGTCGAGAGCTGAAACGTCCTCAAGTTGTGTGGTGTGGTGTGGTAGTTAGGAGAGGGGGTGCCAGCTCAGGTGTCGTCCACGTCACTTGACCTTGGTTCAAAATTACGTGGTCCATCACCAAAAGCCCTCGTGTAGCTGAACAGTGCGACGTTAATATTCAATCAATCGATATCCCCTGTCACCGTCAGTGGAGTTCTAGTTGTAAAATAATGTATGTTTAAAATTACTTGTATGCTTTAAATTAGAAAATGTCTTTAAAATTCATTAATTTTAATATAAAATTATTTTTTTAATGTTGAAAATGCATTCTATTCCTCGTCATTCTTTTTTCTTGTTTTCAATGCAGTTTTTTTTTAGTGGGCAATATATATAAAATTTTAAAAATTATTGATTTACAAAATGGTGAGAATAATTACTTTTTTAGCACATATTGTTTATGAATTTAAAATTTGTTTTATGTGGTTTCTAAAGTATACTGAAAGAGGAACCTCTGTATAACGAATTTTCCATATAACGAACTTTTTAGGGGGGAGGGGATTTAGCGACTTCGTTATATAGAGGTCCGACTGCATATATCTTGTTCAAATTTTCAATCGTTAATAAAATGCTTTCGATTCATCCATTCAAGTTCAAATACATTTTGTTCAACTTGTAGTGAATGACATTTGATGTTAATACATTCTTTTCAATTCCTTACTAATATTATAAACGGGAAAGTTTGTGTGGATGTTTGGTACTTTTTCGCTCAAAAACAACTGAATGGATTTTAATAAAACTTTACAATAATATAGCTTATACATCAGGATAACGCATAGGCTATAATTTATAAAGATATTTGTGAAGTGTCCAAAATATAACAATAGTTGTCAAGAAAGTCGGAAAAATTCTGACTTCTGCAAAAAAGGCCGCGACAGCGTATATCTATCTTTTTATGTGTGAAGCAAAACTTTGCATTTTGTTTTGTCTACGCCAGGTGCCAGGAACTGCGAAAGCTTAAACAGGCGGAGTGTGAGGCTAATTACAATTTTAACATAAAATAAATACAACAAAGAGTAATATTAACGTTTACACCTTTAGATATAAATTATTTATACTATCTTAAATGTTTATTACACAAAATTTGTAACAATGTACTATTTTTGCTGAGCAGAAATCAGCTTAGGAAGGTGTTTTCAAAAATCAACCCACAAGAGAGTTATGGGTAGTTATAGATAAAAAAAAATTCCTTTTTATCAGCTATTACATCTACACACTTAAAATTTAACAAACATGGTTTTTTTTGTTCAGCTGAGGTAAGCAAAAAGCTTTTGTTTGTTAAATTTGCGATTCACATAAAATTAACTCATTAAAAACTTCTTTATCGTTCACAATCTGTATTGCTTAATTTTTCAATTCACCCGTGCGAAGAACGGGTATAACAGCTAGTATTAAATAATTAATTAATTAAATTAAGAAATGCATAAATAGTAACAAAAATAATATTCCAACAGCATATATAGAAAGGAAAATCGGTTTTTTTTGTATCCCTGTAGCGCAATGGATAGCGCGCGCGCGTTGGACTTCTAATCCAAAGGTTGTGGGTTCGAAAGCCCCCTGGGATGGCCTAATTTCTGAGAATGTGATTTCTTTTTTTATATTTACTATATTTTTTTATTTACTACAGTATATTTACTATACTATTTTATTAGAATAATTAAATTTAATCAATGAATTAATAGTAACAAACAAAAAATAGTCCAACACCCTACATAGAGAAAGGCAAATGGAAAATTGCTTTCTATTTTGTCAGTTATTATTGTGATTCTATCACACATATGTATAAACATATTCATATTAGAGTTGTAACTATTTATTAAAAAAATGACTAAAATAAAATATTTCTTTCTTGATCTAAGTAGGAACAGAATTAAAATTTTTTCTTTATTACTTGTGTGTGTGTTTGTTATGTGTATTGTATTTGAAAAATGCTATTTTTGTTTAAGGTATCCGACTACGTTCGAAACCGTGATTTTGTAAAAGCGTATAACTGGATAATATTTATGATATTTAGTGTCACTTAGATTAGAAAATGTATATAAAATTGTTTGAAGAATAGTATTACAATAAAAAATTATTTAAGTACAATATTTTGACAAAAAATGAACATAGAAGGACCCATTTTCAAAATATTCTCCTTTTGTGAAAAATGCATCTTTTAGAATAATATTTTGCCTGTATATATAGCTCAGACCTCTGTACAGAGGCTCAACTAGAATTTTTGAAAGGTATAAATTAGAAGTGGGTTTATCCATGTTTTACGACAACAGAGGGGATAAATTTTAAGAAAAAAAACGCCGATACTTATTTCAAATGGTTGAAAATAATGTGAATCTTTCAAAAATCGTACTTGAGCCTCTGTACAAAGGTCTGAGCTATATACAGGCAAAATATTATTATAATAGAAGTATTTTTTACAAAAGGAGAACATTTGGAAAAAAGGTTAAATTTTTGCCGAAATATTGTATTTAAATATAATTGTTTTTTGTCAAAATGTCCTTAAAACAATTTTATACATGCATTCTAATCTAAGTGACACTAAATATGAAAATTATCCATTTATGCGCCTTTTTAAAATCACGGTTCCGAACGTAGTCGGATACCTTAAAAATGAATACCTTATCATTCAGAAATATCTAACCACTTTATCCAATATGGATTAAATAGCAAAATTATTACTTATGCCTAGAAATTACTTGTTATTAAAAGGCCTTCCTCTACAACTTTGGCTGTTTTTTCTTTGTCTGATCCTCTAGATAAACCTCAAAATACATTAACAAATGAAAACACAAAAATTCCCGTAGCACAATTAATAAATATAGGCTCAAATTCCTATTTCACAAACATCTCCATTTTCTCGGATAGTTAATTTTAGCAATCATTCCTTGTTCACGCTGAGTTTCGTCACGGGCGTTGCCAAGGACTTATCGTGGCTTATTCAAAGGTGCCTATCTCACTGCAATGAAGTAACGCTTTGTTATTTTCCTGAGAGGAGCCTTATCGCCATCCAAGAAGCACTTATTAGTTTTGTGCAATGTTTCATTTGCCTCGCTTTCGTATCACAAACAGATGGAGGGAGTCAAAAAAGAATCCAAACAAAAGATATAGAAACTGCTAAACTAATTATTGGGAATTATGCAAAAGCAAAAAAAAAAAAAAAAAAAATATTTAAACAAATCGAAGGAAATTTTATGTGTTTTCAAGAATTGAGAAATATTTTTTAATGAATATTTAATAATATATATATATATAATTCTTTTCCTTCTGTCATTGTTAACAGAAGACATTTCACTTTAAATTTCGTTTCATGTCGTTTATTAATGGTTGTTGTTGAAATTTTAGGTTTGAAAATGGGATTAAAGTATAAATTATTTAAATTTTAACTTATAAATTAGATGACTTTCAACATGATCACGTATATAACATTGCTTTCTTAACCTTTTATTCGTTTTTCATCTACATTGTGATTTACATGGCAAGGAAGTTCTATTAGTGAGTTGGAGTTAAATTAACGTCACACTCTTAACCAGTTAACTGTGATTGACGAGTATACTCGTGAAGGAGAAGTTGCAGGACTTTGTGTATTGACGAGTATAATCGTCATGCGTAAAACGTAGCGACCAATGGCTATTTGAATTATAATTTCTGAAAAAAACAAAACATATTCTCAAATTTCAGGATGTTTAGAATATTCTGAGGTCAGGCCGGAGTAAAACAAATAAATAAAAAATATGAAAAATTGACAAACTCATGCGTCCCCATATGCACCGGCTGAAACAGCGTATAAGTACACAAAACGAATTTATTTATATGCAATGATAATGTTTTTAGATGTAAGCCTAAAAGGGGCAAATGTCAAAAAGTTGATATATTATAGGGCTCCTTCAGGTTTGGTCAGGTTTGGGACAGTGGCGCCGAACCAGGCACTGTACCCATTGATAGCTGCTGGTTCAAAGTTAAATAGCTATCGAGTGGT